ACTTCGGAAAAGCTTTGATAACTTAGAGAACTGATGCTGACCAATAGATTTGAAAAAGCCTGAACAACGAATATCTAAACGTGGAAATATTCCTGAATAACTTCATGTGTGAACACTCTTCTCCAAATGAAGCTAGAGTACATGTAAAAATATTATCTTAAGCTATTCTGAAAATAGATTAAGCTATACCAGAAAAGACATTTGATTTAGAATCAGAATGTTTAACATGACTTATTCAGGAATAGCAAAACTCCACATTCTGTCTCACTGCAAAACAGTATTTGTGGACAGATGTTCATCAATTGTTGAGAGATTTCTTTCATTTCTTCTGTAAGTGAATAATTATTTATTGTATTTGATGTTGCATACAAAGATACATTGCAATGTAAACTATTGCCATTTTTCACTGTTTCAGTAAAGCTTCTTTTAAAACAAACTACATACATATATATATATATGAATAAGTAATTCCTCACACACATAAAAAAACACCTCCCTGGCCAAAAGATGACAAAGAAAAGAGTGTTTCTGAAATTTCATACCCCAGTCAACATCTTTGTCAGAAGGGCCAAGTGAGGAGAAGTCTTTTCCCACTAAGGTGTGTTGCAAAGGACTGCAGGTAATTGGGAAGAAGCAGATTTCTAGACAATAGGAAAAAAAAACGCTAATAGAATCATGACATCTGTCTTTCTGTTGTGTACCTGTAGGCCATCATTTTGAAGCAAGCTGTTCTCAACAGATGGAGCATGGCCTTTTGGTTCAAAGGTGTGTGTGATTTAGGGGAGCACCAAGGGTAATAAAAGACCTCATTACTAACACTGCTGTAACAGAAACTTTGGAATGACACAACAGAAGACTAATGTATTATCAGTTAAATTTGAAAAAGAATATTTCTGTCTTCTTCTAACATCAGAAGTAACAACGTTTTATAGATGAAAGATCTTTTGTTTTTTAAACTAAATAGTTTGAAAAATTTAAAAAAGAGGAAAGGAATAGCGCTACCACGCACACATAGGAGCATCTTATATCCTAGATACAAGAGATAGATAGATATAACTATCTTCAAAAAGCCCCAGTAAAATGCTTCCTGTTGAGGTCATTCAATCCCTGTGACCAATAATAATACTAATAATGGGTGAGATGAACATTTCTATATGCATGAGAAACTGGCTAAACAGAAAGAAAACCAACAGCAGGGATATGTAGCCTATTTCAAAAACTCAAAAGGTTAACAAAAAATGCCCTGTACTTCCTGTTAGGGGTGTTTAATTCATTTATAAAAAGGAATAAATAGCATCAACATCTTCTACATCCTGAAGTGATTTAGAATAGCCAGCAATGAAGAAATGTTTGCTTAATTCAAGAAAGCTTGTTTAGTGGACAGCCTCCTGATGGGTGAAAGTCAGTACCAATTTATGAAGAATAAGACCTGTTGCAGAAACCTCCCAAGCTACACGTAGTACCAGATCCTGAGTAAGTTGTAGTTCCTCAAGTGAAAGACCTGAATGCAATTTGTATACAGACAAAAGAAAAAACAGGAAAATATGGTTATGCTACGGTATGAATTTGTGGAATTCTTAAATGCTAACTATATTATTTTGTCACACTCATCAGATTTCTCCAAAAAAAAAAAAAAAGTACAGAGCAGAAGATTTCTGTTTGGAAGAAAACACAGTGAAGAAAAAGTGAGGCAGATGCACACGAATGTGTGCACGGAAATGATGTGACAGTATTTCTAAGGTGTGAACTTGTTTTTTACACAACTATTCCAACTTATGTTTTGTTAGCTATTATTTATGAAATCAACCAAGTTCCAGCAATACCCACTATCCTTTGGCACCACTGAGACCTAGTAGCAATGATGGTATTGAATTATGTATTACAGAAATGTTATTTGCTTAAACTGATACAGACTCAGAGGTTTCATACTTTTCCTCCTCAATGAGTTTTACGGGAAGAGCAATGCTTACATCATATGATAGTTTCACTCATTAGTAAGTTTTAGTTTATTACCACAAAAGTGCTGGCATCTCAAAAGCATCACTGCAAATGAAAGACTAATGCTGTAACAGATGGAATTTCATTAAGCAAGGAAATGTGCCAATCTTTTGATAAAATTAATGATCAAACAGCATGTTTTGAGAAACACTCAGTAGTGTCAGCACCAAAACACAAGGAATCCTCCAAGTAAGGTTTTGTATTTCAGAAGAAAATGCATGAAGATGTAGTGTGAGTTAGGCTCAAGCTCCAGTAACTGAGAAAATAATTCGGTCACTCAGCTTCACTTTTCAGCTCTGCTGGCTGAATGAAGAGTGAAGAAGATCATGAGGTTAAGACCAAGTATCAAGTAAGCTGTACATTATTGCATCCTTCCATCTCTACAGAGTAAGGCTGATTAACATTTTACCTTCCTAGTGTCAAAAGTTTTTAGCAGACTGGCAAACTCTGGATGTTCCACTTCCAATGAAGAGGTGAATCATGTTAAGACTTGATTCCCACCATGACAACTCAGAAGTGCTCATGGTTACATGTATCCCAGCAAACAGACCAGCTAGGAACTATTCCTGGTCCTGCCATTGTGTTGGATGGCATGGCATGGTCTGTGTTCACACAGCTGAACTTCCTCCTGCCTCAAAACAGGATGTCTGCGTCCCAACTAACTACTGGGAATGGTCCTGGGCCTCTGCCAAGCCCAGAACCATGCCAGGATGTTGTCTGGGAGTTGCTGGCTGCTTTGGGCCAAAAAGACTCAAAGACTAGTCCAAAAATGTCACGGCATAGTTGGCTGAGTACTCACATCCATGCAGTAGCCCTGAGTTACAAGTATGGATATAAGTGTGTGGCCCTTCTCTACTGATCAGACTTAGTTAAAGGCAACATGAAGTTTGTGTTCGGGGGTCTCCTGAAAAAACCATTAACAGGAGCCTCCCTGAGAGTCAATAGGAAAATAGGGATGGGGTCCAAAACTGAATTTATCCTGGTGTAAATGGGCAATTCCTGTTTGATTTCTCTTTTAATGAAATAAGAAAGCGTTATTTCACAGAAGTTTAAGGAAAAGACACAATACCACACTAACCTGCAGAGCACAAGGACCCAAGAAATTAGCAGCATTCAAAGCCTACAGCTAAAGTAAAACCAAGGAGATAAGGAGAGAGATAACTTTCTCATTTTCATGCAGGCTAGCTTAAGTTTATCAGGTTCCCTCATCATTGCACAAGTGTCGTGGGTTTAACTAAAGCCAGCTCAACAAGAGTGGGATAATCTAGGCTACACTTGGTTAGATTATGAAAGGGCTTTAAACTGGGTAACAAAAATCAAATCTGCTAAACATACACTCCAAATACAAACCTTTACTGAATTATTTGAACAATAAATACAACACATTAATCTCTAGCTCAGAATAATAAACTGTAACCAATCAAAGGCTCTTAAAACAGAGAATTTAAGACCAAAACCAAAACTCATGTAATAAAAGAATATCACATAAGAACCACACAAAAATAAAATCAAATGATCTAGCTACTAAAATACACATATGTGCTCAAAATCTTGTGGGAATCAAATATTCCAGTAAAAATAAAGGGAGAGATGGAAACACAAGTTTCTTATTATCACACTTCATATGTTATAAAACCTAACAGTTAACTTATTTTTGGCAAAGGGACAAAGGTTGCACAACACTCTGGCTTACACAAATATTTTCTATTGTTAAATGCATCTTAAATGTAGCTTGTCATATATTAACTTAATGCACACAGTGCACCATGCAGTCTAAGGCTGTCCCAAAGATACCTAAATTTCAAAACACTGATGAATAGCATGCTGCCAGCGTCCAGTGAGCCAGGTGTAAAAAAATTACTCAACAATTCATAGCTTAATTGAAACCAGATAAAATCATTTGTGTAATAAAGACTGTACAGATGTTGACCAAAGAAAAGTTGGTATTTTTGGACAAATTACTGCATATGACATTTTCTAGAACACTCCCTCTTGAAAAGATAAAACAGAAATAAAAGTTCCCTCAAAAAATGCCCTTATTTATAATCACAAAGTAAAATACACCGGTGGAAATGTATCAGGTTAACCACATGTTTCACGGTTTTAGTTGCTGTTTCCATTAAAGGGGAAAAAAAAAGATGTGCAGTGGAAATGTGGAGGTGGAGGAACCTATTTATGCATATATTAAACACAGACTTTACACTGCCACTGCACTTCCTTTCACAAGGATTTTATAATGTAAAAGAAGAGGCAATGACTTTGCAAGAGTGAATGTTTAAGAATAAAAACACAGTATTCTTCATTCATCAGCTGCTAATAGAGCGAGTTACTACCCAGCTCTAACAGTTTGCCATTTCCAGAGTTGCAAGGACACAGTCCTACCTCAGCATTCCTATTGCTTCACAGTGACAAAGAAAAATGTTCAGATACACAAGAACATGTGGTAACACCACCCATTCTCATTGAGTTACACAGACCAAGCCTGAGTTGCAGAAGCAATTATATACGCATATGTATTACATTTTAAAAACTACATCCTTCATAGCAGTACTCATCACAGTTTATATTACTATTCTTTTCCATACGTTTCCCCATGTATAGCCAGCAATCTGCTTGCCTTGAGATAAAAAGCTGCTATTAAAATCATAACCAGTCTTAATTTTTGGTGTAGTAACATAATGTAATTGCCAGGTATCTACCGATCTGTTTATAAATTATTTAAACATGAGAAGACAAGAAGAAAGTCCTAAATGTATTTATCACCATTATTAATCATTTGTATTACAAGGTCATTTAATGGTCCAAATTCAGAGAGGAACTTTATTTTCCACCAAACTACTTTATCATATATTATTAACATGTCATTAATGTTTTTATTTCACTTTAGCTGTAAGTTAGAGCTTATACAGTGGAATATAACTTACAGAAAGACATGGCATTACCCATAGGTTAAGCATGTGCTCTGCTAATAATGTAACTCCCATTCTATAAGGTTCATGTACCTGAAGTTCTGATGCTCGCTTCATCATCTCCAGTGTGATGTAGCAACCAATAGAATGAGCAATCAGTACCAGCTTTATGTCTTTTGATACATTCTTTTTGAGGAAGTTCAGCTTATGCTCTACTTGTCCGTTAAGTCCAAAAACATCCTCTAGCTCCTTAATATCTGTGTCTGAAACATAAAAGAAAAAAAGTCCTTTGTTTTAATAATAGAAATTCCAATGATCTCATTTTTTCCACTTCTTTGCATAACTCTGAAATAAATTAACTCTTTAATTTAAAACAAAACAAAACACAAAACCAAAAACCCAACAACCAAAATTAAAAACTTAATTTTAATTTTCCACCACTGGTAAATATAGACTGATGAACCACATGTACAGGATGTGAAGCCTTATGTGTAGCTGGGGAACCAGGGAAGATTACAGAAACACATGGAACTTGATAGCACATCATCTAGCACTGTTTCCCTTCATTCAGTACAAGACCAAACTCGAAGCACTGGATCAGTTTAATCAATCCAACTTCAGATTGAGAGATCAGGAACTACGATAGCCACGCTGCCCAGAAACATAAATCCCTTCACTCAAGACAAACTATCATCTATGTTATTATGCACTAAGACCCTTCAGAGAGCCAAAATCTCTTGTCATAAAATAAAGATGCACAAAGAATTCCCACGGAATGACAAAAAATATGAAATGGATATGTGCCAACATGAAACACTAGCAACTAGCACTTACACAAACTACCCCTGTTTAGGCAGGTTCTTACCACTGTCAATCCGGCTACAAAAAGTAAGATCAAGTCAGAGCTTCATGGTTCTAGGTTATTGTGCAATTTCCTTCCTGTTTTGCCAAGGACCTCCCAGAGAAGCTTGGGCAATTGCTTACTATGAGGACTTCACTACCTGCTTCCTGGCCAGTCAACAGGACAAGGATCATCTGGTGCCTCTAACAATTTGCAGCAATTTGGGCATCAGTAACTCTTGCTTGTGAGGTGGGTGACATTGTTGTCAAGCTCCTCAGTCTAAGGGGGTTCACAGCTCTTTCATCTGCTAGAAAAGCGCCCTACTCACTAAACGACAAGTTGTATTAAGGATACATCACTCCAATTTAAGCTGGACTACTCAATGGAAAAGACTGCAAGAAGAAATACCGGAAGAAAGAATGAAAGAAGAGGCAGGACATACAAAAAACATGCCTATAGCTTATCTGACAGAGATTTACTGGTAGTGATATCACTTAATCTCTTAAATCCCTGCTATTATCTCAGGGCTCAATTTCATACTCCAGTTTAAACCCCTGATCTTTTACACTCCATACATGTTCATTTGCAAAGCAGCTTTAGTCTGGACTAAGCCAAATCTCCTTGCAGCACAGTTCAGACACACGATGGGGACTGCCTCAGTATTGAGCCACGCTCCTACAGGCAGCAAGTTCCTGGCAAAAGCCACCCACCTCTAACAATTCAGGAGTAGCTACACAGGTAGCACACACACAGCCCTAACCAGCCCACCAAGTATTAGGTGTTTAACTTCCCCCTGGGTTTCTTTTGATGTCCTCTTCTGCATCAGTTCCTTATGTGAAAAATGGATGTAGAAGAAAGTATCCATCAGGCAGAGACACTGTAAAAATACGTACAATAAAGATTCTAAAAGGCACTGAAAAACTACTCTAAGAAAAAGTTGGCTTGCAGCATAGACCCATTTCAGATGTTGTTGGTTCTGTGCCTGCTTGGAGAAAGTGATAGAGAAGCCTTTCCGATAGTCCATCGAATTATAAAGGCTGACTGGTTTTTAACATGTCACGGCAATTGGTCAGTAACCACAAATGCTAAAAAGTACCAATGCTACTGAAATGAAGTTACTGGAGGGTTGACAATGAAAGTGTTAACTGGTAGCCCAAATCAGCTGGCACTATATTGCCATTTTGATCATCTGTATGAAACATATGCTGTAGCAATTATTTTTCTTCAAAAGGTTGTATTCTGGAGGTTTTTTTTTTTCTGAGGTTAAACTATCACCACAGAGATCACAACAAATCAGCTCTTTACTACCAAAACTCCTAATTTCTACTAAAACTCCTAACGATCATATCCTATCCTAAGTTACAGTAGTTTAAATGAAACAGAGGTTTACTAAAACATATTCAAGGAATGCAAAATTAGATGAGAAGTAATATTTTGCCTACTAGGCTTTCTACAAGTAATGGAAAACAAGAGCTTGTTCTGTTTTCCAAAAGCCTAAATAAAAGCCTAAGGCCAAAACATTGTTTTTAAACTTAGTTTCTATTTTTAGCAAAAGCTGTCTTTCCTACTTTTTATTTATTTACACAGAGGCTTAACCTCATGTAGGAGAAGGCTGTCTACATGGCAAGTCTAATTAAGGGTATGTATAACACACATAAAACACTGAATACTAAACTATGGTGGCCCACTGGATACAGCACCAAGTGAAAAAGTATGTTATGTCGACTACACGTATGTTACCATGTGTTGGACTGAGCAGGCCAGTTTTCCCTTGTACACATTTGCTATAATTTTCATACTGTTTTTCTCAGGCACTGCCAATCGCTAGTGATTTACCAGCCTGCCTTCTGAAGTCTGACATTCCATTCACAGTTTTTAATTCTCAAAAATAAACGATTTTACAAGAATTTCAATTTAATTTCAGGTTACAGCAAGGAAAAAGGAGGTGCATAAATCTTCTAGAGAACCTCTCACGATTCATGAGACCTCAGAAACACAGTTGGAAACAAGACATAAAATTTTATTTGCATTGTCCATACAATCTCAGGGTTTTGAAGCTAATCTTACGATTCTATTATCAATCTACATGACCGAAAATCAGGCTTGCCCAGGTTTTCAGCTGCTTTTTGCTACATGAATTCAGTATCTTCTACAAGAGATGCTGAACCACAATTAAACAACATAGCAAATACAGACTTGTCCAGTCTCAACGTTTGCCAAGTTAAGGTAGGTAACTATGTTAAACAAATGCAGTTAACCAGTATTTCAGTCACTGAAGACATTAGATATCTAATTTAATATTTAGTTACCCAATAAGTAGCAGCATAGTGATTCATAGCAACATATTCATAGCTATTACTGATTTCAGCTAAGATGTGCCTATTCAGAACCAGTTTTGTTGCCAAAGCAAGAACCCTGAGGAATGATATGCACTGTAACAGGGGGGAATTAAGAATAGAGCAAAAATACAGGCTGCTTCCTCCTCACATATGCCCAGATTTGAGCATTCTCAACGCAAGCCTGTGCACCAGTGTTTCCTTAAGGGAGCAGGGGAGAGAAGAGCTTGCAGAAGCCATTTTTAATCAGATGGGTTAGTTATGATTGATGATGATCAGAGAGACCCATTCTAATGCACTGGGACAAAGCATCCTCCACGCAGCCCTGCTCCGCACTGCTCAGAGCAAGGGTGCTCAGATTCCCACATCTACTGGCCCATGTTACGTGTACACACCCTTTCTCTCAGACTGAAAGAGCCCTGACAGCCAGTGCTGACCCCAGAGACTTATTTCAGCTGTTTAATACAACTTTTCCTTTTCTTCTGAAACACTGGTTTGTTGCCAAACCGAATCACATTGGCACTGCTCCTAGAGAAGCCACGGTGGAGGATGAACATGCAGCGCGGGGTCTGGCAATCCACACACAGAACTGCTCATCACAGACCAACCCTGCACTCTTGTCAGGTGAAACTCCATTGTCATGTAAAACCTGTATTGTAATACACATCCTATTTTACTTGTGGGGAAATATAAAATCACCCATGTCAGTTCACATTTCCCCAGTGCAAATGCTACGCTCCCAATAGCCCAAAATGTGAGAGCTGGCCCACGTCACAGGTTTGAACAATTTATTTATTTATTTTACAGAATAAAATCACCCAGGGATTATCCAAAACCAACATGAATTTCTTGGGTGGAGAAGCTTAAATGGGTTCTTTATATAAGCAAACAGACTTGCACAAACACACTGGCAGTCGGCTCACGGATGGCTCTACATCAGAGAAGGGACCAGAGTTACTTCACCTCAGGTGAAGAATAAACGGCCTGGCTGAACCAGAGCTCATTTAAGCGGTTCTCAGATAGTAGAAATTATACGACTTGTACCTTATGCTGCAAATGCCCCATCTGGGCCAAAACATGTAATTTTAAGACTTTATTTAGCTGTAGTGTATTAAAAGAAATACTGTATTTCTTTATTTTCTTTGGCAAAGAATTAATCTTCTGACAGGCTTTCGGAAAAACAAATGAGCAATCACTTTAATGAATCTCTTTTTCTGACCCCTACTAAACCCGCAGTCAGAAAACAATGATAGATGAAAATAAAGTGTTTGCTCTAAGATTAGTCGACAAGTTAATCTCGCTAGGAAAGAAGTCTTTGGTTTTCAGGGAAATAACAGAATTTTTGTTTGTTTTTCTGCTGCGTATGCAAGGGAAATTCTGAGGCAGAAAAAAGGGCATATCAGTTATATGAGCAGACTTTAGACTGGAGATTCATAGAAAAGTCTCAAAAAAATCATAGACTCCTTTTTACGGGTTGATTCGAAAAGATACTGGAGGCCAGATTTTCCAACACTACCCTCAAATCTGTACATATAATGTCTGTATGCCTTGTAATTCCCTAATTTCACACGGGAATGTTTGTGCATCCAAACTCCTGGCTACCCTGATCACAACAGGTGACTGAACATTTGAGCTGAGTACATAGGGACACTTGTCATGGAGTGACTTTAAAGTCTGTCCCAGGATCCACTAATACACAAGGCCTCCACATTACTCATGAACAAGTATGGGCTTGTATGAAAAGGTGACTGCAATTATATGCCATGAAGGAAAGGGAGGTTAAAAACCACAGCCCTACCTGCACTGTACCTTCCTCCTCCCTGGATAATTTACTCAAGGAATTAGATATCAGGGTATCTAAGGACAAACTCTAATATGAACTCTCTTGGTCAACAATTTTCAGACCTGGGCCTTTTACAGGATAAGCACAAGTTAAATACCTTGAGACTGAACCAAAGGACCAGAAAAAGATTCACCTCTTCCTCTAAAGATGCTCGTAATATCAGCTGCGTGACACATCACCATACTGCTTAGTGTTAACAGTGAGAAGAAAAACCAAGTTTATAAACATGAAAATGCAGTAACA